AAGACTCTGTCTCAAAAAAAAAAAAAAAAAAAAAGAAAGAAAGAAAAAAAGAAACCAATGGAGCGGAAAATTGTCCCTGCGTTTTCAGAAGCCAATGGGATGAAAAGATTCCGCCTCTAAAGTGGCGGCGGAGCCAATGGGGTGAATCGTGTCCAGGAGCGCGCTCCAATGGGACGGCAGGGCTCGCCCGGCCGCGGGCGCAGCCAATGGCTGCCGCTCACCGGCTGCTTGACTGCCCGCCTCCGTCCGGCCGCTGAGCCGAGTGCTGGCGGGCGGGAGGTTCCCGCGGCTCCGGGAAGATGGCGGCGGCCGTGGTGCTGGCCGCCGGGTTGCGCGCCGCGCGCAGAGCCGTGGCGGTCGCGGGGCGGCGGGGGGCGCAGGTGAGAAGTAGCGTGGGGGCAAGGAGGGGGTCTCGCGGACTCTGACGCCCTCCAGGGCTGGGGCCGCGTTCCAGCTCCCGAAAGCGCGCGGGAACTCAGCCCGAGCGCCCGGCTGTGGCCGCTGCCCCTCCTGCACAAGCTCTGGGTCTATGCGGTGAGATCGAACTGGTGGCTCCGGAGAGCGAACTAGCAATGACCGCCGCCCTGCACAGTCCCGGGCGCCGAGGTCGGGACAGGGTCACCGCAGCGGCTGCTGCTTTCGCCTGCCTGAAGCCTAGCGGGCCTGGCACCTGCTCCAGGCAGCCTCCTTGGTGCCCCCTGCAGGACGTGAGCCAGTCCTCTGCCCCTATCAGACCTTTGGCCTTCTAATGAGCACTAGTGTTAACCTCTCGTTCTCCCCCACTTGCCAGAAGCGACTTAGGGATCAGAAAACATCATCCCGTCCCTTTCTCCCCCAATGTGACACACTGACTTCGGCCTTCTCCGAGTCCTTGGGAAACTGGGACTTCCCTACCTCCAATTTCCTGGGGCTGCGGGAGCTAAGGTCATTAGCTGAACTCTTACCTCCACTGATACAAGGGACGGGAGTTAAAATCCACAGTCAGGTCGGATATGACACCCAGAGGAGGGATCAGCTAGTATCAAAAAGGGCAACTGCATTAAAACCTAAATAAAACAGGCAACAAGGCTTAAAGATCAGAAAACATGAAATAAGTGGAAATGTATTAAGGTGAGAGTAAATGGAGCTTCAAGACATCTTAAGAGATAATGCAGACCACCTCTTTATTTTATGAAGCCGAGAGAAGGGATTTATTTGAGGTATAATTCTGTGCTAAAATTGGAACTGAGACCTAAATCTCCACAGTCTCATTCTGGATGCTTTCCCCTGAACAGTGCTAGATTTCATATACGTGTTAGCAGGGATCAATTGCACTGCTGAATCCTGGGTAGTAATATTGCCTGTTATCTAACCATGTGCAGTACCATCTGGCCCTACCCTTTGCTGCTTGTGCTCTGAAATTCAGGAACTTTTCCCCTGGGTAGGAACCACAAATAGGTTCTTTTTTTTTTTTTTTTTTTATTGAGACAGAGTCTCATTCTATTGCTCTGGCTAGGTGCAGTGGTGTTAGCCTAGCTCACAGCAACCTCAAACTCCTGGGCTCAAGCGAGCCTCCTGCCTCAGCCTCCTGAGTAGCTGGGACTACAGGCATGTGCCACCATGCCCAGATAATTTTTTATATGTATTTTTAGTTGTCCAGTTAATTTCTTTCTATTTTTAGTAGAGGGGGGGTCTCCCTCTTGCTCAGGCTGGTCTCAAACTCCTGAGCTCAAACAATCTGCTCGCCTCGGCCTCCCAGAGTGCTAGGATTACAGGCGTGAGCCACCGCGCCCGGCCCACAAATAGGTTCTTAGAAGGATAAAGTTAACCACTGTCAGAGCCCAGCTTCTGCCAGCCCTAAGCAAGTACATGGAAGAGTTGTTGCCAATCCCCTCCCTTGGGTGTGCGTGATCCATCTTCAGGTCCGAAGAGCTGCAGGTGCAACTGATGGGAATGAAGTGGCCAAGGCCCAGCAGGCAGCTCCTGGGGGAGCAGCCCCAACCATCTTCTCCCGGATCCTGGACAGAAGCCTCCCAGCTGACATTCTATATGAGGACCAGCAGGTGAGGTGCCCTTAGGACCCATCCCCTTAGGAATGTCATAGATACCATCCTGCCTGTTGAAGTAACATGGTGGCCTCTGGCTTGTCACTGCTTCCAGTGTCTCGTGTTCCGTGATGTGGCCCCTCAGGCTCCTGTGCACTTCCTGGTCATTCCTAAGAAGCCCATTCCTCGGATTAGCCAGGCTGAAGAAGAAGACCAGCAGGTGGGAAGAACAGGCCCAGGGTTTGGCTGGGAGAAGCTCTGAACTCAGCTATAGGTTTTGCTTCCTATGAATGAAGCCACCTACGTCCCTCTCCTCTCCCTATAGCTTCTAGGACACCTACTTCTTGTGGCCAAGAAGATAGCAAAGGCTGAGGGCCTGGGAGATGGATACCGACTTGGTGAGTGACCCGTGACCCTTGGCCCCTCACCTATGAATTCTAATTCCTACTCCTCAGTATGATCTTCATTCTTTAATCTTCACTGGGATCCTGACCCTCTAACCCCAAGCTCCATTTCAGTGATCAATGATGGGAAGCTGGGCGCACAATCTGTATATCACCTGCATATTCACGTACTTGGGGGCCGACAACTCCAGTGGCCTCCAGGTTGAACCTACAAACTGACCAAGGATCTCAGACCTGGATGCTTGGATGGGGAAGGGAAAAAGGGACTCTGTGATGCTAATAAACCTGCTCTCCCTCAATTTTGCATCCCTGTCTTAAATATACAAAGATTTATATCACAAAGAGGAAAGAAAACTGATTCAAGGTTATGATCCCCCTTGACTATGGTCTGAGTGAAAGACCCTCAGGAGGCCCAACCTGTGGTTAAAGGAGCACCTGCTGGCTGGCACTGTGGCTCACACCTATAATGCCAGTGCTTTGGGAGCCTGAGGCGGGAAGATCGCTTGAGGCCAGGAGTTTAAGACCAGCCTGGGCAACAAAACCAGACCCTATTTCTGCAAAAAATTTAAAAATTAGCAGGGCCTAGTGGTGCACACCTGTAGTCCCAGCTACTCAGGAGGCTCAGGCAGGAGGATCACTTGAGCCCAGGAATTCAAGGTTACAGTGAGCTGTTATCCACCAGTGCTCTCCAGCCAGGGTGACAGAGCGAGACCCTGTGTCTAAAAAAAAGAGAAGAAGAAAAATTAAAAAGAAGCATGTGCCAGCAGATCACCGAGTTCTCATGACAAGTGGTTTAATCTAGGTCAAGCGTCTAGGAAAGTAGGAGTATGAATGAGCCTGAATGAGTAGGAAGAAACCCAGGTCTAAGATCTGCTCAATCCTGGCCCTTATTCATAGGTCAAACCAGGTTTTAAGAGTGATTGGGGGGAGGAGGGTGGTCAATATGAGGACCTTTTATTAGAGAAGTAATCACACAGGGGGCGGGGGACAAAAAAAAGATGCTATCTTTTCACTACTCCATATGTCTCATCATTTTGCTCTTAAGCTGGTTCGTGTATTTTCATACTTAAAATTTTTTTAAAGACTACCTGCCCCCCCTTTTGAGAATGAATTTAGCAAACTAAGAGGAAGCTACTGTTGCCCCTCCACAAACACACCAAGTAGGCTATTGTCCGATGCCACAGCCCTGTGCCTGTCTCTAACACATCCACATAAAGAATCACCTCAGAAAGCCGCAAAGAATCATGCTTGGGCTTGGAGGGCGAGGGCTTGGGCCAGCGGAACTTTAAAAACCCGGCTGAGGCAGAATGGAGTCGGACTGGAAAGCGGACTTCCCAGACCGCACCAGGTTTAAGATTTCCGCCTCACGGAGGACCTGCCTCCACCTTCACCCCCCACATCCGCCCAGCTTAGTTCTGCGCAGTCTCCAGAATTGTTTGCCGTCTCTATGGCAACCCGGTAGCTGGGGTCTGAAGATGGAGACTGAATCTACGGAAGGATCGCGGTGGCGGTGAGAGCCGCAGCTCTGGCTGCCGGCATCAGGGGACGAGGCAGGTCCACGGACTTCCTCTGCTGCGCTTTTGACAACCTTGTAGCTTTTGCTTTCTTTCAGATCTGTAGACGTAGAGCCCTGCTCTGAAGGTCAGGGGTCCACTTCGGAACCGTTTCCTTCTTCAGATGGCGGTCCTAGGTCTGCTCTGGCAACCGCAACCACAGCAGCTGCAGCGGCTACATCAGCTGCTGAAGCCACTGCAGCCGTCAACACTGCCAAAGCAGGAGCATTATCTCCACAGGCCCCAGCGCCCTATTCTGAGCTCACGGAGCCCTCCTCTGATCTCAGTCTTCTTGGGGAGCCACGGGGGGGACCCAGCTTTACCCACAAAATAGGCCATGGGAGTCTTGGCTTTGAACCCACCTATGTTTCCTGTATTACTGGGGATCCCTGTACTGCAGCTGCCCTTAATTCTATCCCTAGCCTTGTTCCGGGCTCCAGCTCTGGCCCTGTTCCAGGCTCTAGCTCTGGTGCTGGCCGTGGCTCTGGTCCTGGCCAAGGCTCTGTCCCTGGCTCTGGCTCTGGTCCTAGCCCTGCCTGTGGGCCTGGTCCAGGCACTAGCCCTGGCCCTGAGCTCAGCCCCTGCACTCCTTCAAGGTTTGGAAATCTCACAGCAGATCTCATCCCTGATTATACCTGCTGGAATCACCATTGCCATTGGGAGCCTCAGAAACAACCACCCTGCGAATTTCTGCAAGTCTCAGAACCTGGTGCCCGAGGGCTATGGAAACCCTCAGAGGCTAAAGGGAAACCTAAGGTTTTCTGTGAAATGTTGCCACGGGGCCAGTGTCTCCTCCACAACTGGGAGGAAGAGGTATTAAGGTTTTGGCCTGCTCTCTTTTCTTGAAGGCTTCCCTGTTTCCTAGGGGAGGGAGTAGTTTATGATAAGGGTAAGTATCAGAAGGGATATCATAGTCACTCAACTTGGGACCCACAGAGAGCTACCAACCACCTGGATCAAGTCCCAAGCATGCAGGATGGCTCTGAGAGTTATTTCTTCCGACATGGACACCAGGGACTGCTGACCATGCAACTACAGTCACCCATGCCCTCCAGCACCACCCAGAAAGACTCATACCGGCTCCCAGGAAACCCCTATCGGCCACTTAGAGGTGTGACGCATGAGAGGGCCAGAATGAGTCCATTAGAGAAAAAAAGAGAGGAAGGAGTTTCTGGTGGGACTGTGGATTGTCTGATGGGTATAAGGGCAATAACACAAAGTTTTTCTTCCTTTTCTCAAATTTGTTACTTCAGGCCTGCTTCTTAACCAGACCCCCCTTCTGCCCTCCCATAGGGAAGCGTGAAGCCATGCTGGAGATGCTCCTGCACCACCAGATCTGGTGAGAGACTGAGGGAAAGGGAAGGGGATGGGGGAGGAGAAAAATTGGGGGAGAATGGCCTTGACACCCTTGCTGCATAGTAAAGAGGTGCAGGCAGAGCAAGAACCCACAAAGAAGCTCTTTGAGGTCGAGTCTGTGACACACCATGACTACCGAAGGGAGCTGGTGCAAGAAGGGCCTCCTGCCCCAACAAAGGTGAGAACCCATCCCACCCCACTGCACAGCTGGGCTCCAACAAACTGTGGGAAAGCAGCAGGCCCAGAGGTTGAGAGAGGGGGCTGAAGGCCAGGAGTTACTCAGTACTCTCCCTTACAGCCTCACGACTACCGCTGGGAGCAGCCTGAAACCTTCTGGATACAGAGGGCACCACAGCTACCGGTGTGTGAGAGTGTCTAGGAGCTGGCAGTAGGGAAGGGGTGTAGAAGGCGGGGTAGAGACTATTCTGTTCTGACTCTGGGAGGGTGGGATCTGTCCTCATCCTGGCACTCCTCCAGGGTGTCAGTAACATCAGGACATTGGACACACCATTCCGGAAGAACTGCAGCTTCTCAACGCCAGTACCCTTGTCTCTGGGGCAGCCTTTGCCCTATGAACCTGAGAATTATCTTTACCAATTGGGAGAAATATCTTCCCTTGCCTGTCAGGGAAGAGGGCAGGGTGGTGGAGCAGGGAGAACGACTCCTGTCTAAGGGCTGAGGGAAGTGGAATATAGCATATGGAGTCTCTTTCTGTCTGTACGAGAGGTTGGGAGGAAGTTAATTCTCTCTGTACTTGATGACAGGGCTTTACATAAAGGGTTCTCTCTCATCCTGAGACTACTAATTCAATGATTCTGTGAGTCACCGTGTCCATACCCCATATCCTTTCCTTGGGGTTATCCCTAACCCAGACTATGACACCATGACTATTTTTTTGTTGTGGTTTTATATTTGGCCAAAATATTCTGGTTTAGATACAGATATTTACAGAAGGTAAGTAGGAAGGGGACCAAGCCAGAGAGGGGCAGGTATATGTACAAGGCTGAGCTGCAGAGGGCTACAACTTCCATATTAGGTAGGTTTTCTTGGTGCATGTTTTCCATCTCATGTGAAAATGTCCATCTCCAGTGTGTGGAGAGATGGTGGCCACTGCCCACCCAGGTACCAGCAGCAGGAGATTGTCTGACTTGGGAAGAAGTGGGGTTTACAGGAGTCCAGGAGGTCCTTTCCGCTCTCCTAGGAGCCAGTAAGTTCGCATCTTTCCTTTTCCCTGGAACCAGGAGAGTAGACATAATTTGGATTCTTCTATGTTAGTCCCTTTATCTCCCTCTCTTCTCCGTGACCCCCCATGTTCACTTTCATCCTCCCTTTCCATGACCCTCTCCCCATGGCCTGCCATCACCTTCATTTCCACATCACCCCGAAGCTCTAGCTGGAAGCATCCTAGCTCATCCAAGGCATCCTTGGTGGTTGAGGAGACATGGATCTTCAGGGCTGGGGTGGGATGTGGGGTTGAAAGAAGAATCAAAGAAAAGGCAAGAGAAGAATTGGTGGTATTAGAGAGCACTTTACCCAACCAACCACCCCTATGGGAGGCTCCCAGACCTCCCAACACATGTCCACTGTAATCAAAATATGTCCAAGGATGGGGCACTTAGGAACTGTGGTCTCTCAGATTGAGAGACTTGGAGGAACTATGAAAAGAAGAAAATAGCAGGATAAATTGAGGCCCATGAGGGCTGAAGGCTAATGTCTTACCTTGACCATTAGACTCCATTCGAGAAGCAGTGTTCACTGTGTCTCCAAAAAGACAGTAGCGGGGCATCTTCAGGCCAACCACCCCAGCACAGACTGGCCCTATGAGAAGAAGCTGGTTGGGAGAGCCTGGGAAAGGTGGAGACTAGGGCTGGGTGAGAGTCAGCCTTACCAGTATGGACCCCTATGCGTAGCCTCAGCTGGTCATGGGGTCGGTGGCGGATGCGGAAGGAAGAAACTGCATCCAGTAATGCTAGGGCCATACGAGCGATTTCTGGTGCATGGCGTTGACCGTTTCGGCCTGGGAGGCCAGATACTACCATATAGGCATCCCCAATCGTCTCCACCTGATTAAGAGGAGGATTAAAAAGTCACCTCTATCTTTATCAGTGGGCATAGGGAAGAGTAGAGGAAGACAAGCTGGACACCACCATGATCATCCTGACAGCCTGGGAGGCCAGAACGTTGACTAGAAAACAAGTGCCATAGTCCTGAGAGTCTGGGGAGAAGGAGATGTCAAGGGAATCTTTAAATCCTCCTGCCCCCAACCCCAGCACCTGATGAACACTAAGTAAGCATTTGCTGAATGAATGGACACCCTGTCCGCAACAGGACATGGACAGATAGGCTCTGCTGTCAGGAAATGGGAAGCAGAAAAACAAGCTACACTGAAGAGTACAGAAGCTGGCGAGGAGGCAAGACAGGCCCCATGGAATGGGCCACACATCCCAAACTGTTGGAGAGGAGAAGGCGGGCTCTTGGTTCTGGTGATGGTACTAAAACTACACAGGAGAATGTCATTGTTTTTAGGAAATACACAGTGGAGTTTTTAGGAATATACACAAAGTATTTAGGGATAAAGGAGTAGTATGCCTGAAACTACTACTCCTTTCAAATGGTTCAGAAAATAATTATACAGATTGATTTTTAAAACTAAAGCAAATGGGGAAAATATAAACAGTTGATGAGTCTGGGTAAAGGGCTTATGGGAGTTCTTTGTTACAGAAACAGCAGAGATTGTAGAGTAAGTCTAAAGAGAAGGGACAGGAATAGATATTCATTACCTGCCATGTGCCAAACACAACGTTAGGCACTTTCCATACAGCAAATCTATTATTCCCATCTTACAGATAAAACAACTGAGGCTCAGAGAGATTCCGTTATTTACCTAAGGCCACAACAAAGCCAGTACTCAAATCCAGATCATTTTTACTCCCAAGGACATTAAAGCCAACCCTCTGCCAACTCAATGGCTTCAACAAAAAGCTTTATATATTTTTTCATATCTTGCCCCTTACCCCACTAAATCTATACCTACAACCTGTATGATTCTTCCATGTCTGGAGAGGACTGGAAAGAAAAGATAGATAAGCTATATTTATACCCCCAAGGAGACAGGAGCTAAATCTTATGAAGGTTCTGATTAGGAAAGTCTAAAGATTCCCAAGAAATTAGACTGGCATTGTACACTTATGGTGCCAGAGCCACATCTGTCTACAAAGTGCACGCCAGCACTAGGATGCTGGAGACCCTGGAGGGAAAACTGACCATGGAGAGCAGGTAAGATATGTGGGGTTCAGGGAGACTGGGTTTTAAAGGGGTCTTAATAGGAGGGCAGCCCCAGCTCTCACCTTGTAGACGTCAAAGTTGTCAATTATGGCATCAAAGCAGGTATACAGGTCATTAAGAAGTGTCACCACCTAACAGGGATGGGAAAGCAGAGGCCCTGAGACTTGTGCCCAACTTTCTAAGAATTCTTAACCCACGAGCCATCATAAGATGTGGGAACTCTTGAAAAAACCAATTTTACCTGTTGTCAGCAAAGCTCCTCCGGTTCCCTAATCCCACCCCTGCCTCTCACCCACGGCTCTCACCTGCATGGGGGTGCTCTCTGCTGACAATGCTGTGAAGCCAACGATGTCACTGAAGTAGATGGTAACGCTGTCAAAGGCCTCAGCCTGTACAGTCTCTCCTCGTTTTAACTGCTCTGCCACTGAACTAGGAAGCAAGGGTGCAGTGTGAGCCAAACTCCAAGAAAGAGGGTAGGAGGGGGAGGGAGAGGAAAGGACTATGTGGCTGCAGCAGAGATGAGGTGTAAGATGAAAGCTGAGCTTGGTGGAGGAAAAGGAAAGCTGCTGGGAAGACATTACGGTCTGGTGCAAGAGGGGTTGTGAGGGGATCCCCGCACATGGGGAGCTAAGTGTCTCAAGTTGGGATTGTTTTACATACACTTGCTGAAGCAAGGGCATGGTAGAGCAGTGTCCTAAGAAGAAGGGAAGTCAGAAAGAAGGCAGCACAGCTGATGTGGAGAAAGAATGGAAGCATGTAGTCTACATCGGGCAGGCTCACTGTGGCAAGCACGGTTCTGAGGGTCGGAAGTGAGTTCTCAGGAGCCTGATGAGGCATAACCCGACAGAGCAGAATCCCAAAGGAATATTGAGGAAGGGGAAAAGGTCTCACTGGGGTAGGATTTGGTAGAGCAGAGCCTCAGCCTTGCGTTTCTCCTCCAGATAGGCTTGTGTGCGTTCCTCCACCAGCTTCTCCAGGTTATTGGCATACTGTTCCATGCGCAGCAGGAGGTTGTCCAGTATGCTGGTGCCACCCTCCCTGGGGGAGGCCAGGATATGGCACCTGCTGCAAGATTCTCAAGACTCCCAGGACTTCCTGCCCAACCCAACCTCTGGCCCCACCAGCCCCACTTCATCCACTGAAGACTGATGAGGCTTCTATCCCTGGGGAGCCCCTTCCCCTTAGTGCCCTCTCACTTGTTAAAGCGGCGGATGAAACCCTTAATCTGTCCAAAGTCTGGCCTCTCAGCTGGGTCCTGGGCCCAACATCGCTCCATCAGCAAAACTAGCTCTTCATTCAGTTGGGTCCGGTCAATGGTTGGCCGGAAATATGGCCGCTGACCATTGCGGACCTTCTGGACAATCTCTGAGGGTGATAAAAGGTTTGGATGAAGAACAGGGTTCCCCCAGGAAGAAGCAGCTGTGGGTAGTGGATTGACTCTCACCTTTGGGGCTGAGGTCCAGGCCCTCCAAGTAGAAAGGACCACTGCGAAGTGCTATCTCCTGTAGGATGATCCCAAAGCTATAGACGTCAGCTTTCTGCATGCCTGTGGTTGGCAAGGAGTTCTCACTGAGCAATTCTGGGGCAGTCCACAGCTTCTCTGAAAAGAGGGAACAGGCTGGCCAGGTCTCCAAAATAGGGTACCCCCAAGCCCACCTGGGCTCATTCCCACATTACTGTCAACTCCATCTCCCTCTCCCACCCTCCCTAGGTGGAAATGGATCAGGGGCAGAGGAGCAATATAAAAGTGGGTTGTCGAGTAGGCCTCACTGGCATAGAGGGCGTGGCTGTCCTCTGGTTCAGCAGTTGATCGGAAGCTGGCCAGGCCATAGTCTGTGATTTTGAGCACAAAACGACTATCCACCACACAATTGGAGGACTTGAGACTCCCATGGGATGAAATAATGCTGTTGTGGAGAAAGGCCATACCCTGCAGGATATAGATCAAGTTATGGGACTGGATCATATCTGGCTTAGAATACCCGCTCTGTCCATGAAATGGGTACTGGCTAGCTAGCTAAAGATCTTGGGACCATTACAACAATAAGGTGATTTTGGAAGGCATCTTTTGCAGTTTCTATCCAAGGAAGCAGACTAGGACAGTAATCCCTTCCTGATACACAGGTACCAGGGATGGGAAAAATGTTTAAGAGGAGGGATAAGAGGAGCTACCAGTTATTACCTGAAAAGGGCGGTCAATCTTCTGAGAAGTGAAGGGAACAGAACTTGCATGAGCTCTAAGAAAGATATGACCCCCATGGTGGCCTCAAATGCCTGGCCACTGATTATGAAGAGACATGGCTTAAGACCCAAGTATCTCGAGTAGCTAGAGGAACCAAGGAAGACTAACCAGTTGTATACTTTAATGCATAACCATGTGTAGGTGAGCAAGTCAAAGCGGAGGGGGAATG